CTCCCTCCCTCCCTCCACAGATTTTCTGCCTGGGCTGGCTTTTAACTGTGATCCTTAGATCCTTAGATTTCAGCCTCCTGAGCAGCAATGTGTGAGCCATTGGTACCTGGCAAAGAACCTTCTTTTATTCTCTGAGAAGTTTCTTGGGGGCTTCTTATCTCCTTACCCAGTGAAATTACAAAAAAAGGATTATTTACCTATTGCTTTTTGTTTACCCTGAGCAAATTGAAGAACTGTTTCAAGTTTTCACTCATATTCCATTGATTGTGGGGAAAGTGAATTTCAAACTAGTAGTCTGGAGCTGAGTCTCCCTGGAATTTGGCCTTTGTTTCTTTACAGGTATTTGAGGAGGAGTTTTTCCAGATAGGAGTAGGGCCTCTTTGTGGATTTAGAGGCTGTAGGAAAAGGATATATGTTGAGGGTGTGGTCCCAGTTCTGCCACTATTACTGTAGTGCCCAGTTTTCTAAGCCTTCCCGATAGGCTTCCTCATCTGAGGTCTAGTGACTCTCCTCTCCTTTCCTCCCATAATACTGGCAAGAGGATTAATATATGAATATTTGAAACTGCCCAGAAATGTGAGCTGCCATTACAGTTGGAACAGAGTAAGTCATGAGAAGCGAGAACAAGATGATTGAGTATCAGTGTCTAAAGTTGAAATGAGTAAAAATTAACTCAGTAAAAATTAATGAGTAAAAATTAACTCAATTAATTAATGCCATTTGTAGAAGTGACTCAATACCAGTGGAAGTTGGTAAGTGTTCTAAAGAAGAGGATGAAGAAACAAAGCTGAAACAAGAACAACTCTGATGTCCATTTGGTATTTTTAATCTCTTCTTTGAGGTGAACACTGTTAGTAGCAGGGATTTTATGTTATTTTTTTCCTGTGGAATTGATATCAAGATTCTAGATTACAATTTTTGCTATACTTAGAAGACACTTGGGGACATTTAGAAAGTCCTGATTCCTGAATTTACATTCTAAGGTTCATACATCATATGAGTGCTATGACCCACTTTGTCCTCAGGACTCTTCAAAGCTCTCCAAATTATTATTATTGTTATTGTTTTGTGCCAGTCCTGAGGCCTGTACTCAGGACTTCGGCTAATTCTCTGAACTGTTATGCACAAGGCTACCACACTACCACATGATCCATAGCTTCACTTCCAGCTTTTTGGCAGTTAATTGTAGATAATAGTCTCAAGGACTTTCTTGCCTAGGCTGGCTTTGAGTCATGATCCTCAGATCTCAGCCTTCTGAATAGATAGGATTACAGTATTACAGATATAATTACTGGCTTCCAAGTGATTCTTCTGTGTACCACAGTCTGGGAGCTGCTGCCTTTGACATTTTGGTTGTAGTTGGAGGTGACTTTCTGCCTGATCCAATTGGGTTTCCTGACTTTAGTTAAAAAGTTTCCCTCATAGGCCCCAATCTTGGACTGTGGCAGTTTTAATCAGGAGCTCCCTCAATCTTTTTATGGCTTTGACTGAGAACTTGACAGAGCTCCCTCTCTTTGGCATCTCTTCATTTTTTTATGTTCCTACTTTGAGAAGCAGGGATATCTTTCAGAGGTATCAGGACAGCTTTCATTCCACCCTTCCCAGCTCGGTACCACCAAGATGCCCTCCTGTCTTAGTTTATCTCGTTATATCAGTTGTTCTCCTGAAGTATTTGTACTTCATTTTTCTTTACTCCCCAGTGTGCAATTAAATGGTGCATAGGACATGAACTCAGGTCATTCCTAGAGTGACCTCTGTTCCCACACCACTTGTCTGCCCACCCTTTCCATCATGGGCAGATTTCCAAGAAGGAGAAATGATCTGGACTTTGTGTTACAGGAGCCCAGCCACCCCAGCCTCCTCCGTACCCACCATCAATCATCTTCATGAGAATCTCCAGAGATTTATCTTGACTAGTGGCCTGATAGATTGATGGCTTTGATTTGGCATTGCCCAATAAACAGTTTCTAGATATCATGACCTTTAGGTTATGAATATTTACTTCCTAGGAGCTCTGGTAGAATGAATACCTTTATACATTTTTATAATTCTTAATAGTAAATAATTATAGTTTCACATTATCTGTGCTCTTAGACAAGATTGTTTGCCTTGTTTATATTCTTATACTTCAGGAATTGTTTTTTAAGTAAGAAAGAGGATGAGGTTGCTTTTCGCTTGCTTAGAAAGTTTACTTTTGCTTACAAACTGAGCTACATACATATTCTGTTGTTAACAGCACTGCAGTGATTTATTTGTATGGTGTAATCCTTAAGAGATGAAAGTAGCATTCAAGAATGTTGTCAAGGGGCTGGGAAGGTGGCTCAGTGGTAGAGCGCTTGCCTTGCATGCTCGAGGCCCTGGGTTCAATTCCTCAGCACCACATAAGCAAAAAGAAAAAAG